TGGAGTATATGGGGGACATCCGGTGTACATGTCCGGTGTCCCCATAGAATTATCCTTAAAAATAACCAGATATTGAATTGATGTGTGGGTATAGTTTGGCTATCCCACACAATATCAGCCCATTCACTCTTAGGTAATTTCCCTATGAACTAGTTATAACCCTCTTCATGAGTGTATCTAACTTGTACTAGCATCATTTTTCAAAAATTATTTTCTCCTTTTCCAAGTGGACCAAAAAACATCTTTACCTACTGGCCCGAACACCGGCAAGTCGGCGACGGTCCAAAACTGCATTTTATATAGAGAAATGCTTGGTTCACAAATACAATGGTCACAAACTTCACAAACTTACTATATGTGAACTTTTATAAAAAAAAATTAAATAGTGTACAAAAATTTAAAATGAAAATTTAAACTATAAATAGTAAGTTTGTGACAGTTCTATTTGTGAATCTAGTATTGCTCTTTTATATATCCCGGCGGATTCCCGGTAGTTGTATGGAACGAAATAGGTCAAGTCCAATCAGCCCATTGGATCAATGAGGCCATATCGGGTAGATTTTCGGTTCAATTAGGAACTGTAGACAATCTGGGCGCACTGTATCTAAACTACACGCGGACTCCGCTATAAGACAGAGATTTTGGGCACAATCCGAACAATTTTAAAATCCAGTCATTTCAAAGTTTACTTTCCAAATAAATGCATTTCCAAGCTGGCTTCTTTTCACCCCAATTTTAGAGATAATGAAAGATTTTGATGGAAAATAAGGATACAAATTTGTCCCCACATCCCAAAATTAAATATGCAATCTGATTTATAATATTTCACTGAATTTGTGCTCTATTATTCAATTTATTTTATAATTGTTGCAGGGGGTAATGTTTTTTTTATTTTTAAAAAATTAAACTCTATAATTTTTTTTATAAAACAATAACTTAGAAGACTATATTATTTGGTCACATCATTGATGAAAATATATTTTAAAAAAGTAAATATCACCAGTTGGTCAATTCGGTCCATACTCGGCATCAATTTTTAGAAAAAAAAATGGGATGGGTCCCATCCTCGAGGGTTCCCTCAGATTCGGTCAGACGGTTACTGAAAGAAAGTAAATTGGATTTCAAATGCATATTAGTGGCAAAGAGTGAAGTCCGCATCTGGTACTTGCTGACGCTCTATGCATAGCATAGTTGCCTCCCAGCGCAGTATTCAGGAATCGAACTTGGGTCTTACTCCCTTGACACCCCTTGCCTTGCCAACTGTGCAACGTTCACCGACGCATCAATTTTTAGAAAATG